AACCAAAGTCTCAACCACCCTGAGAAGTCACACTGCTCAAATAAAACAGATTTTAAAACTGTATGGCTTTTAATAAAGTAATGCAACATTAAATTCAGACCAGGCTCTGGTTCTAATTGCTACAATCACAATATTGACCATTTCTATTAGCATTAAACTCACAGGATTTTCTCCTAAAGCACCCTTACAGAAGAACTTAATTGGGATCAGAAGGAATGAAAAGGCTGACAAGCTACAGTCAAACTTTAAGGTAAATTATGGGTTGTACTATTAAGGCATAGTATATTATTTTATCTATTGATCTATCTATTATTTTATGCTATTGATCTGGAATGGAATGACAGCATTGATACTGCTGAATTTCAGAAATTATGTACAAGAAAGGCATATAATGTATGCAATGTCAGGTGTCAGCAAGCATGAAGATCACTTAGTCAACTCTAAAGCTACTACTGTGTATATAAGTAAAATCCAAAACATACTCATCAGTAAGATGTAAGATACCACAAAGAACACATCAGTCCAAAAATACCTTCACCATCTTTAAGATGACATTAAGACAAGGAAGTCTGAAATACAGCAGTAACACCAATGACAAAGGAGACTGCACAGCTGCTTCAGCAATATTGCTTCATTGATTGTTTCTGGGCACTAGAAGATGTTAAAGGTAAAAAAAAAAATCAGCTAAAATAAGCCTTCCTTGCGTGTCTGGATTCATTACAGTAGTCTCAGTGGCTACAACACAAAATTATGCTTCCTTCAAAACATTTTTTGCTCTTTTCATAGTATTTAATTCTCATGGTTTATCATTAACTTCCTGTGTTTTCACCATGGACTTCAGAGAAAGCCAGAAAGAAACCCCAACCAACAACATCTAAACCAAAATAAGAAATATTTTAGAACAAATTGCTGCAGCATTCCTCTCATGCATCAGTGTATCAAATATTCTGGATTCTCCTTTGAAGAACCCACATCTAACTTAACTATAGAGCTCTGAGCTGAAAAAGACAGAACTAGAAGACAATGAGAACTGGAGAAATTAATCTTTAGCAAAAGACCATGCTGCTTTTCTTTTTTTTTTTTTTTTTTTTTTTTTTTTTTTTTTTTTTTAATTACGCTAGTGAATCAGAAACTGGAACCTATTATGTGAACAGCACAACAGTCTCTAAATATCTTTTGCCGTGATTTATTTATACTCAGTCATGGATACATACTATAAGTGTCCATACTGTAAGTGTCAAATGTATTGCCACAGTTCAGAATTTCAGATACATTCCCAACTCATTCACACAGATTGGGTACATTTGCTGTCAGTGTTTGCCATTGTAGCAAGTTTATAATTTAATTATTTTTCCACCGTGCATTTAGTTTTCTTTGGAATTACCTACCACAAAAATGTCTTTTAGGAAAATATGTCTAGGAAAATTGATTACTCTCTGATTAACTGATGGTGAAATACTTATTCATGGTTAATGTCTCACCTGTTAGAGTTGTAAAGAGAAACAAAGGCAAATTAAAAAGAAATTAAGACCTCAGATCTGCATTTTTTTTTCCAAAATGCATCACCTTCTGTCAGCAGTATAACATGAAAATATCACTTTATTTACAAGACAGTAAAACAGTACTTGTTTAGACAGCTTTCACAGTATCTGGCCACAACTCCTGAGCAATTTTAAAATGGCAAGGGATAACAATACTATTTTTTTTAAACTGGGCTTTACAAATGCCCTACATTCAGCTTTATTCCAATCCATATGTAGGACAGTGATTTTGGAAGAATGCATCCTGTTAGTTCCACCTTCCCAGGGCAGATTTTAGGCACCACAGCTCAGGAGAATCCTGTCAATTTTCAAGAAAGCTAAAAAGCCAGATGGGAAAGCTGAAAAGCCAGAATGGAAAAGTCTTTGGTATTATTTTAACAGACTTGTCAACTACAATCACATCAGCAATTGTCTTTCCATCAACAAAGAGCTCTGAGAATCAGTAACACCTTCCAGCAACTTGCCACCTCTTTCCTTGTTCCCAAATGAGTTCAAAATGCTGACACCCCAAAATTATTTATCATGTAGGCAGAAAGCAGAGAAATGGGAACCCTTGAGAGGGAAGGGAGGCACTGAAAACACAGAGGAAAGCAAGACAAAGGAAGACACAGAAAGCCCTTGTTCACAGGGAAGGAATGGGGACATAAAACAGTTTCTCTTATTGCTACCAGCAGTTGGAAGCTGAGCACTGCTCTCCTCCCCACAGGCTGGATGGTGAAGGTGAAGGGTCAGCCAACAAGAGGAGCTGTGTGCGCTTTGCCTGGGCACGAACACACGAGCACACATGTGTAGGAGGTGAGGACAGTTAGGGACAGCAGGGCAGGCATCCTCACCCTCCCACTTCAAGCTTTAACAAACACCTCTGAGGCAAACAGCAGCTTCACCAGGGCTATTTCTATGTGGAGACACTCTTTCCTCTTTGTCATGTAACAAGCTGTGTTTAAGATGCTGAGGGTAAAATTCCTAGAAACTGTTTTGTTGCCTGATTTTTTTTTTCCCTTCTGATTTGCAGAAATCTTATATTAGCTAGGAGCTGCCATCCGGTGTTCAACACGTCCCCTGTGTTGCAACCACCACTTCTCTTTTACTGGGGAGCCCTCCAATGGGTACTCAATGTCTAACAGAGTAGAATCTTCTGGAAAGATAAATTTTGATGAATAATAATTCTGTTCTCCAAAACACTCAGGAAAATAATGAATCCTCCTTTTCATGTAATTATTATTGAAACAGCAATGTCTACACCATATGCAAAATAAAACACCAGGTTTCTTGTCTGGTTGCCAACTAAACAGTCGCAGCCCAGTCAGATTCTGCTGATGCAACAACACATAGTAGTTAATAAGTCATTGTCCTACTGTATTACAGAACACCACAAGCAATCTTCACAGCTACAAGCTAGAACACGAAAAAGGATCATGGCAATTACTGGCTTCCTTTCAGTCTTTGCCAGCCGTACTTCTGATCCTAACTTACCAGCCCAGCACAATCAAGAGTGTCTTAGAAGATGTGGTGGAACAATGCTTTGATTAAATAAGTAATAAAAATAACTGTAACATTCTTACACAGCAATGTTGCATCCATTCCAGGGATTTATAGTCGTAAAAGAAAATGACACACTACTACTATACTTGCCTGATGTGTGGGTACATCATCATGCAAACATTTCCCAGAATGCTTAATAAAAACAGATGATTAACTAAAAAAAAGATAAAGTGGGCAATTTCCTCCACACTGATTAAACCCACTGCATGACTCAGAGGGAGAAATCCTGTGAAGTGAAGTGATTAAAGCTGGAGTAGCTGCAACTAGCATATTGAATGAAAAACTGAGCAAGGGTTCCATGAAACTGTGTCTGAGATAAAACCCTGTCATTAACAACTATCTTAACAGTCTGTCTACATCCTGACCTAACAATGCATGAAAATGGATAAAATACTCAAGAAGATCCCAGAGACTATTTTGGTTTATATTTTTGTAGTATGTTTGATTCAGAAAAAATAAAATGTAATGTCACTGACATTTCCCAGTTAGCCACTCTTCATGCACAGCATAAATTTAGGTCTCTATAAATTATTATAAGGGCATAAGGTTCCTGTGACCAAAGCAAACCCAATGGAAACAACAGGGCCCCTTGCAGGTATGAGCTTGAGCAGTCAGAACCCACTGCAGGACTGGGACCAAGGAGACATCTTCATTAAGAGATCTTTAACGGTGCCAAGAAAATGTTTCCCTAAGAAAGCCAAACCTTGTTATTAACAAATATAATATTCTCTTCTGGATGAGGTCAGCTGGAGCTCTGTAATTGTGCTCATTTATTCCTACTAATACATCTCTCATTAGGATGCACACATTCGCAGCGTCTCATCTTCTTAGTTCTGGCTTGGTGTAAACTTACTATGATGGTGCAACATTGCTGCTCTGCCACCAGGTACTGGCAGCGTGTGCACTTGTCTGGACACGGCACTGCCAGCCCATGCTGTTTTACTTGATGTTGCTCCAGTGCACCCACAACTTCTGAATTATAGGATCCAATCTCACAGGTGTGTTACTGAGTGCCTTTGGAGCAACACCTAAACTACCAAAAAAAGTGCACTGGTAACCTGTGCTGCCTGCCCTTCCCTGAAGGGCCCTAAAAACTAAAATACACACACACATACACACAGACACACACAGACACACACATCCCTCTCTCAAAAACTGGTCCCAGAAACACGACGGGTATGAAGAACTCGTCAGCGATGTGAAGGTTCCCAGGTGAGCTTTGAACCGTCGCTCCCAGAGGCAGCTCGCGGAAAGTCAAGAAGCTCCCGTGCCCCGCGAAGGGGCTGCAGGTGCCCGGGCCAGAGGCGGCCAGGGGCAGCCCGCCCCCCGCTACCCGTCCCGCACGAAGCCGACCGGGGCCCCCCGACGGGCGGTGCCCCCGCGGCCCCGCCCCGCTCCTTACGGCGCGCAGGGAGCGCGGCCGCCCCGCCGTGCCGGACGTGTGCGCGGAGCGCAGCCAGGCGCCGCGGACCCCCGCCCGCTGGCCGGAGAGAGCCGGGAGCGGCCGCCCGGCAGGACC